ACACTCTACGACCTTGGGCACACACACACCCTAGGCACGATCTGGGTACGGCTCAAGTCTATTAAGGACTGTTCTCCCATGGGGAGGAACCTCCATAGGGAAACAGGGGTGGACTCTTAAACCATTATCCCCTGTAACCCTGTGGAAAAAGATCCATAGTAAGCAAGTGTCTCCTTGCAAGCCTATGGAAGAAAAAACCCTTCGGGACTTGAGTAATCTCCATCCTTCAGTCTTAGCCCAGGAGGGGGGTAAGCCCAGCCCTGAAAGCCAACACAGAACAAGAGGGAGAGAGAAGAAGTTCCAACTGCAATGAAAATGTACTGCTACTGAGAATCTGTTACTAGAGGGAAAGAACTGGAACTCCAAAAATACAGAATGAGACTACTTCTTCTCCTTAGACTGGTATAAAAAGGAAAAAGTATTTCTGTGTATATATAGCATTTCAACTTGAATAAAAATTGTTATAGATATAGTTCTTTAGTTTTTAACTTATTAATAGTATTAGTAGTTTTTATTTTACTAGTAATAAATGTTTATACTGTTTTCCCCAAGTCCTGTCTCTCTTTTGTCTGCAAATACCTTCTCTCAACTAGTGGTAATTATGTGGGGGGTGGAAGGCAAAATTAACCCATAGCAAAACCACGACAGGGCAGCCTGTTCCAACGCTTTGCCACCCTCAAAGTAAACAGTGTTTTCCTCTTAGTCATCCTATCAAATTCAACATCTAATTCCAGAGAGCATAACTATCTTTAACACAGTTTTAAGGCAATTGTAGCTTCCAGTTACAAAACAGCTTTTATAATCAATATGCCCATAGGTGGGATTTCATCCATTCTTAAACTATGCCTCCCTATTAGATAAATATGTTGGCTACTCAGGCAGCACAAATGTAGAGGCTGTGAAACAAGTCTGGCATGTATCGGTATTTGATGAAAATTCAACAGCTAAGGATACAGTATAGAGAGCTTAAAAAGAATGCCAGCTACCTGTACTCTCAGAAAGGAATGATGGTGCTTGTATTTTATTTTTTATGTACTTCAGTTGTTGCCAAAAAGACACCAATTCCTGAATGACGCTGCCCCTTAAAAGCACATTGAACTGAATCAAAGGAAAGAAGATCTAGTACTGTTTCCCTTGGTTCCGGATTTACCCATTCATGACTCATTTAGCTACAGATTTGGCTAATTTTGCTTGATCTGTCAAGAACACAGTACTATTCCAATGGCTCCAATCTATTGTGATCTACTATTAACAGGAATGAGAAGACTCCTTCTTTCCTGTCCCATTACCCTATACAATATTAAAGGGAACTTTTAGTTATATTCTTCAAGTCATAAGTATCTGTGATATTCTGTTTGTTTTCAGAAAGATATGTCTGAATCAGAATAAATGTAGAGTGATCTAGAACTGAGCAAAAGACTATAGGTAGGGAATTTGCCAAGTAGTTGATACTGTTCCTATCACAAAAGTTTTGCTATCTACTGTTTATCAGTCTTTCTGAGCTATTTATTTTAACTGTATATTTTACCATCCTCACATGATCTCAATTGCTGCATGTTAGAAATACATTCCTATGGCAATTTTGCTCTCTTCAGGGCAAGGGAAAAGGTAAGGGAATTAGACTTGTAAATAATAGCTCAATCCAACAGTGTGCTTCACAGGTATACTGTCAGGGAGTACACAATACTTCTTGGGTACCTGC